TAGTAGAGTACAATACTTATTCATGAATGACAAGTGTTTTGACATTGCTTCAACCCGTAACTGAATACCTCAACACAACAGTTTACTCTTTGTTACAAGGAACAGTGGTATATTTTGAATATTTATAATAGCTATAATTCAAATTCCTTCTTTTCATAGATTTTCTCGATTTTTTAAATAATTTATTTATAATATTGGGAGTTTTGATAGTCTAGCTGACATCTCCGAGACTTTGTAGGATCCTACCAAAAAAGCTTGTACGCTGGAAAATCTCAAAGAAATATCTGGAAGATTGCAGTCAACTTTCGATACATTGTTACCATGAATAGTTAACTATTGAAATACAGGTCTTCAAAATCCTTCGGCATATCCAATTTTCATTAAAAAAATGATTCTACTTTTATGAACAAGTGACGATGCTAAAGTCAAAATACTAAATAAGGTTAAATTGTTTTCTCATTGAAAAATATTCTTATGAAAATTCCGATTATTTTTGATTATCTAAAAAACTCTGGCTGATGAATTTTAATTCGATTACATTGGTTTTTGTCTCGTAATTTGTTTTTAATCGTCAAATTGATTGAAATCTCATTCCACAAAAATCAGTTTCATGGATGAGAAATTGATTATGGAAGGTTATATCGTCTGCGGAGTGTGGGATAAGTCAGCGAATGAAGAAAAGTAGGCTATGGACAACTACTTCTTCACTTACATCCTGCTCGAGTGCTCTAAGGATGACTTTATCAACATCACCAGTCTATCCTTTGCCAAGAACTTGTTGAGCTTTGAATGAAAAGAAAGAACAATCTGTGTAAGTATCGAAGACTTTCATTACACGAGGGTTGAATTAGTGAGGCGTCAAGTTCATTGAAGAAATGCTATTTGAAAAATATTTTCCTACAACGGATAAACAAGCGCTCATTCTACTACTATAATAAAATACTGCAAATCTACATCTACTTCATGATCATTTATTACAGTAACTGAATGTTGTCCTAAATTCAATAACAACGCTTAACGAATTCGTCGAAATGCTAACTGTTGGATGTGGGTGTGTTCTTTTTACCGATACCCACGCTGACACCCACATCCAAACTGTAAATATCCTGAAAAAAAGTCGAATTACTAGCCTATGATTGTTGAGATAAACTATTTTTCTGAACCACAATATCATGGTTCGTTCCGTAGCAGAGAAAAAAAAACTGACTTTCGAATTTCAACTAAGTAGAAACTTGATATAGTAAGAGTTCTGAATAAAATTTCAGATCATTTGTCTGTTTGCATTTTTAAATCAAGAATATTGAATAATTGTATCTTAGAATTGGAATTTTAAAGCTGAAATTTGAAAATCATTTGTCCATCTGTTTCTGAGTAGCATCACTGCATGATACTTGATAAAAATATATTATCTCAATGAGAATTTTTCAACATATACAATCTACTATCTTGTTTATATGATATACTTTTTCTTCCTTTTATCTTTCGATGTTTGAATTTTTTCATTCAGAAAAAACAAAAATGATATGTTAGTCGTTTTTCGTTAGCTCAATGGTAAGAGCACTGGTCCGGTTAACCACCTATCATATCTTGGGTTCGATTCCAGAACGAAGCATATCATTTTGTTTTTCTGAATGAAAAATTCAAACATCGAAAGATAAAAGGAAGAAAAAGTATATCATATAAACATGTATTACTCCTTTCTAATATCTAATCTACTATCTTGAACAGTTGTGTGCCGACCATTGTTAATCGATCTGTATTATTTGCTTGTCGTTATTATCAACTAAAATCGAAGTATTAGTATTCGACATCAATACTGGAAGATACAAAAATACTTAGTTGATTGTGCTTCATTTTTTTAAAATTAATATCAAAATTTATTTTTAGTACATCCATTTTACATGTGTCGGAAAAATGAAATATTTACTTGTTTAGTTGCATTAGTTATTCGTAATTTATGTCAATTTTATGAAAATAGTTTTGGCACTGCAACTCTTCGTGAAAAACTACAAACATCACTTGAAGAAATTATTAATTCTATGTGACGTATAGCGCTCATGGAATAAGTTAATTACCTAAACACTTCATGCGATGGTTACATGGTTCATGTATCTCATGTCTAATAATACCAGTACTTGATGAAAATCTTGAATCACCTGATTTGACTTTTAGTAATGATGTTGTCAGTTGATTGAACAAAAAAGCGAATGAAGTTTTGTATAATAAAAGGGATCAATAATTATTGAATAGCATTGACCACCAGAGTGAACTAATCAGTTAGGTGATTAAATCAATGATTAAGATAAAACTAATTTTATATTAAGAAAAAAAGGAATAAATAAATGAGTGAATAATACTATGTGCACAGCGTCAGTAAAAGAAAATTTTCTCTTCTGAATGCAGAAAGAAGAAATCGATTATCCTTGGCAAAAAAATCTACCAGCTGTTAGAGATTTTTCACTCTACATATTTTGTATTAGCATGATGAGACTGAAAAGTAGAAGCGAGTCCTACATTTAAAACCTAAAGAGGCTGTACTTTGACATGAGAGTTGTTATTCTAAAAAACTTCAGAAAATAATTCGTATCTATCAAAACAGATCTGAAAAACTTTATTTTGCTTTCGTCGCTTTTATATTTCCATATTAAAGTCTGTTCGGTCTTATGCATTTGGATTAGTCACAGCTATTAATCAAAATCTTAGCCGATTATTGATATATAATGATTTACGGGAAAATGGTAAGCCAAAATATATGAGTCGATTTGCTTTAAAATCTCGAATATATTCTGATTATGATGAAATAGTAACAGTATTTTCTAAAATTGATCAAACATTTGATCGTTATTTAAGGACTAAAAATATTTATTCAATTGAATTATCTTTTAAACAATTTCGTCCAGGATTAAAATATCTTTACGGGAAAGAATGAATAAATCATTATGAACAACATTTATATTTTAAAATGTCAAACAAACTTAAAGAAATCAATAATATTTTAAATAATTTATTTCAAGATCTTAATCATGATGCTGATATTGTATCTGATTTAAAATTTGTTTTAAATAAAATAACACAAATCGATCAATTGAACATGACATAGAACAATCATATCAAATTTTAGATCAACATCGTTTGAAACCTATACGTGATGGTTGTCGTGAAATAACTGATGAACTTGTAGATAAATATGGTCCATATACAATGGAAAATGATCTTAATCAAATATTTCTAGTTGTAAAACAATATGAAAGAGAAATTGATAAAATTTAATAAGTATTCCAAAAGAAATAAACCGTTTAAACATTTTATTTAATCTTTATTATGAATTTAAACCAAATAAAAAATGATGGTTAAAACTTGATGTCAATGATTTAAATATTAATGCTGATTTAGCTATTAAACATTTTCGACTTTTATCAAAAGATATTAAATCAATCGTAGTTGGACATACAATCGAAAAATATTTTTCAGGTCACTATAAGCAACTAACGATCGTCGTCATGACTCGCTTCACACTCGACTGAATTCGATCTAGTAGTCATTGGTTATCATTTCCTGAGCCCTGCTGTGAGAATTATTGTTCAACATACGCACATACAAAGTCTGTCTGTAATATTCTTAGTGACGAACATCTTGTAAAGAAACCGGAGGTCATTTTTTTATGTTGAGATTTTTTTAAATATACTTTAGCAAATAGCTTGGAGTCGGTCATCATGGTTGAGTTATACTCACGCCTCAATCTCCTATGGACGTAGTCCGCCGAAGGTATGAGTGTGTGTACGACTGGAGGGTTGGCGTACACGTCCATCCAGAGAACCATACCCACCTAGGTCATGGCCTAGCTGCTTTTCCGTTGAAGTTTGTCGAGTTAAGTGAAAAATGGGGAGTGAACGGTTCCCATGGTTTATCGAAGTAAAGGATATGCGTGTGGTCGACATCGGGAGTTACATCCTGTTTTATCCCACAGGGATTTTGATAATAGCTTTCTCATGGTACGTACTGGGAAAATAGTTAGATGTTTATTGAAGAATAAAAAAGAAATTTGACTCTTTTTTGTTCAGAGTTATTTCATCGACAGCTACTGTCTATCTATTATATTTTTTGAAGTAGTGATGTTGCTTTAATTTTTCTCCCTTTCTCCCAGCATTGTAGTGTGGTTCTTGATTTCCATTCGGGTCATCGTACTCTGCTGCATTATCCAGTCGAATCGAAATTTCTTCACCGTAGTCATTCTTAAATTCGTACTGATAACAGAATTTGCCGGGATTATTTCGATCAGGAATTTTCTGTGGTTTCCCAGTATTCACTGGGTCTCTGGAATTTGGTATACCATTAGCAAATTTTGCTTTGTTAAATGCTTCGCTTTCATATTCACTATGGGTATCTTGCTTGTCGTTGTAAGACATCAAATGCTGAAAAATTTACAAACTATAATTGTCGTTAAATATTAATAGAGGTATCAGGGTTTATTCGAGTCCTATAATGAGAAAGAATAATTTAAATAGGGTTGGGTGTGGGTGTTGGTAAAGTCCACAATCCACACTCACACCCACCCTGAAAGTGAGAATATAAGGCGGATTCGTGACCACAAACATACAGAACGGTATGTTTCAATGTCAATAATTATATCGAATTCCATCATCGAAGCCTTAGAGTTTTTTGCCAAACTACTGTTTGAAGTTAAAAATCAAATGATTGAAAACAATGGCTATATTGTTGTCGCGCATAAATGGACTTTCACGATGCACCAGTAAGTGCTCTCTGAAGTCATCTTAATGAAGTGGCATAAAGTCTCCTTTTCTTTTCATCGCATGTCGAAAAAAACGATATAAGCGAAAAATTCCTATCTTGAATTTTGCATAAGGGGGAAACAGCTGAAATCAGATTTTTTTGATTTTTGTCTGATTTAAATTTAAAAAAAGGTGTTCCCCCCTTGAATTGCCCGCTGACTCGTCGTTTTTCTATAGTGAATATCTTCCCTAAACTGAAATGATAGGCTCTAGAAACTGAAATTCACTTGTATTTATCTGTCTGCAACACGCGGTACAAATGATGTTAGTCATGGTACCAATGACCACAGTCCTGGTCCAAATGAACATAGTTATGGGACAAACGACCATAGCAGCAGTACAAGTGACCATGCTGATGGCACGAAAGACCAAAACTATGGTTCAAATGATCAGAAGCATGTACAAGTGAGCATAGTCACCTATTGTGACCTAAACAGCTACAGTTACTGACTATTGCGAAACGATTGTCGTCGCCAGCAACCGCTGAAATAAATATGTCAAGGAGTTATGACACAAAGCACTTCACAGGACGACTATGAGTATTTCGCTTTTATACTTCATGTTCACCTAGAAGTAGTGGCCAAAGATGAATGAATAAGAAAACGTGCAAACTGAAATGATTGTATATCTTCGAGTTTGCGCCGTACCCGACTGTATTGTAGTATATAACTTAGGTTACTACAAATACTGTGTTTTTCCCTATATCAGACACAAAAATGTGACAATAGTGCTAAATGATGTAGAATATCGATTTATGAAAGCTTCTAGTAGTTTTTGAGAGCGCTTGCTTCAACGGGGGGCGTTATTAGTAGTGAGAATAACTGTAGTTTTACTTTCGAATATTTTAAATATTTCTTCAATAGTATATGTAGAAAAATATGACCCAATTATGATTTAGAGTGCGAGAATATGTCTGAAGATAAAATAAAGATGAACGTAAGTTTCAATTTCCGACTGATGTGATAGTCATATTCGCTGGACTAGAAGCAGTGCCAATATGAGTGATTACTAGTAAATGGATACGTTTATACTTTAACTCTATTATTCGATATATATATGTATATGTAACAAAAGCATCATTGAACATATAAAGAACTATCGAAATAGTCTGAATGACGGACATCAAAGCTGTTTTTTCAAAACGTTGAAAGTTGGATGATAAGATTGCTAAAGTAAATATAGTTTTATTTGTGACCTCATATCATCAATAGAATTCCTGTAACTCGGCGTGCATCAGCATATGCCAAAAAATAGATTCACTGCACTTAATCATCGTTTTAAATAGAGAATAAGTGTCACGAACATTATAAAAGAATGGACATAGAGAGGGTCAGTTTTTCCTTATAAAAATAAAAAATAGATGGTTTTATGAAATTCATCGCTGTTACATGTCTAGTAATCTCTTTTATCAATTTAGTACGTTGAGTTAAGCATGTTCACATCTAGCCTCTTCTATGCTTAAAGTGTCTTATTTTATTAAGCTAGGGTTACGTGTAGCGATAGTTGATATACGCTACTTGTGTTTTTGTATATTCATCATGCATAGATAGTGTGACGACATAGTGCTGTAATATTTAGGAAACTGCTTGAACTAGTATTTTTTGACCTGAACAACATTTTTCTTCTGAAAGTGATCATTTTAGGCACCGATCAGATTATTATCCACTGTTTTGTCCTAAATGGATCTATTGATTAATCTTTGAAAATACTAGAACTGAAACATGATGAATTCGATATATATAATTAATCTGCTCCTCCACTTTTTACATCATACAACAAGATAGTAGAAGAACTCTCATACAAATGATATATTAGAGGAAATAGTAACAAAAGTACGTCATATTCTTCATAGCTCAACGAAACTAGAAATTGATAGAATAAATCTCTGTAAAGTCATATAAAAAAATAATGTCAACTTTTATAAAGTCAAAAACGAGAATGCATTATGAGAAAAATAAATCAGTTTCTTTATGGAAGAATCATGTCTTAACAGTTAGTAGCATTTGTATGGAGATTCTCTCGGTTGTTGATATCTCTGAGTTATCGAGAAAGTCGAACTGTACATGAAAAAAACAAGCTTTTCTTGACTATTGAGTTTCTTCACGATTCTACAATAGTTTGATCATGAAACAAGCGAAATAACATTTTGTATGTTTTTAAAACAAAGAATTTATTTTCTTTACCTTTATTTTGTGACCACGAACCAATACTTTTGAAAGAGAATAATAGCTTTTTCTTAAAACTCGTGTGCACTCCAACAAAATATTTTTTGCTCTTTCTTCCCTTGTTTTTTCTTCCTTTGCTCTTTCCTCTATCACGTCTGTTGTTTTCATCCTTTTTTATTTCCCCGTTATCAGTAAATATCAACAGAATACAACAAAACGGCTCGGAAGAAAAAAATTACCATAATGCACAGATACAATATGACGTCTAACATTGGTTTAGTTTGCATAGTTGCTCGGAATAGTCTGAATACTGACGTGAGGGTGTGTGGATGTGGGTAAAAAGAAAAGACAGATCAACACCCACACCCTCTAGGAATAAACAATCTTTAGAAAAGACGATTCGGCATGTTCGAACATTTATGGTATGTGATGACATTCACAACTTCAGTAATCACGTGTTAAGGTTTGTGTGTTAACACGGATCATAACATTCTCCTCTGTTCCGTCGTTAGTTTTTTTTTTTATGGGAAGAAGCAATGATAAAGATTAGAGCTAACAGACAACAAGGAGAGAGAAGAAAGAACGAAAGGGATCATAGAATAACAATGGGGAAAAAACCGTGATTGACAACAATATGTTGTTAGAAAGCCATAGAAGTATTTTAGTTTTTCTGAATAAAAATATATCTGAGATGGCAAGTCGAGTAACTATAATCAAATAGAAGTTACATTGTGAAATAAGTGAAAATGCTTTCCTTCTAAATATCAGTTGAATCGATAAAGTATTTGGTGTGATATTTCACAAAAAAACATCAGTAAAAAATGATTGATTAAATAAAGCATCCATCTGAATAGAATCTAAAGCCACTTGAGAAGCGGGTTCAAAAAAATAATAAAGAAATCCTTCATAATCCATATCAAACAACAGAATAATTTTGAAATGTGAGAAACGACATATGATAAATATTAGCTTGGCTACAACTAATAAATATTAATTCTTCAATACCATAATAAAAATATAAGTTTTTCTTGTGCAGTAAAAATAATTCTTATATATAATGAGTAATTGATGTAATCAGAGTAATTTAACACAAATAAAAATATTCAGTACTGTTAGTTTTAACTTTAACTTAACTTTTTCTTTATTCTTTTTTTTTCTTCTCCCCACCTTTCAAAAATCATCACTAATATATAGACACAATGATGGGGCAAATCCATGAGTAGGAGAATCCTATCCATACGAAAGAGAAAAGGAAAAAATCTAACGAAGAGAACGAAAGAAATAATATAAGAACGAGAATAACGTATAGTGTAGA